AACAAAATAGCTCATAATGAATAAAAGTCTGTTTATATTATAACATTTGGTAAACCGGTAATTTAGCAACACTGATGTGTGTTGATGAGGCAGCACTGGTGGGTGGCACTGCTGGTCACAGGTGGACGGAACTGTTGGGTGGCACTGATCATCGGTGCTGACCCCCTGCTCTGATAACTGCTGGTTCTTGGCAGTACTTTCCAAACATTCTGAGAGCATGAGGAGGAAAGTGCAGCCAAGACCTGGCAAATGCATTTCCCGGTGATCAGCGTGTCATTGGACGTGGTTGATCACATGGTAAAACGCCGTTGTGATTGGCCTTTACCACCTTCATGGCTAATCTTTGAATATCTGGACATGTATACTGCGTATAATGCATTACAGTCTACAATGTGTTGGTGTACATGGTATTACAGTGTGCAATGCTTTGCTGGATTCTGCATGACAGTGGACAGCGTATCACAGTGTGCAATGCGTTGCTGGATTCTGCATGACAGTGTACAGTGCATTACAGTCTACAATGTGTGGGTGTACACGGTATCACAGTGTGCAATGCGTTGCTCTATCCTGCATGACAGAGTACAGTGCATCACACGGTCTACAATGTGTGGGTGTACACGGTATCACAGTGTGCAATGCGTTGCTCTATCCTGCATGACAGAGTACAGTGCATCACTAGGTCTACAATGTGTGGGTGTACACGGTATTACAGTGTGTGCAATGCGTTGCTCTATCCTGCATGACAGAGTACAGTGCATCACGGTCTACAATGTGTGGGTGTACACGGTATTACAGTGTGCAATGCGTTGCTCTATCCTGCATGACAGAGTACAGTGCATCACGGTCTACAATGTGTGGGTGTACACGGTATTACAGTGTGCAATGTGTTGGTGTACACGGTGCATCACAGTGTACAATGTGTGGGTGTACACGGTATTACAGTGTGCAATGCGTTGCTCTATCCTGCATGACAGAGTACAGTGCATCACAGTCTACAATGTGTGGGTGTACACGGTATTACAGTGTGCAATGCGTTGCTCTACATGACAGGTACAGTGCATGTCTACATGTGTGGGTGTACGTGCGGTATTACAGTGTGCAATGCGTTGCTCTATCCTGCATACACAGTACAGTGCATCACAGTCTACAAATGTGTTGGTGTACACGGTATTAGTGTGTGTGCAATGCGTTGCTCTATCCTGCATGACAGAGTACAGTGCATCACAGTCTACAATGTGTGGGTGTACACGGTATTACAGTGTGCAATGCGTTGCTCTATCCTGCATGACAGTTGTACAGTGTACAGAGTACAGTGCATCACAGTCTACAATGTGTGGGTGTACACGGTATTACAGTGTGCAATGTGTTGGTGTACACGGTATTACAGCATGTGCTACAAATGTGTTGGTGGTATTACAGTGTGCAATGACAGTGTACACATGTGCATGACAGAGTACACATGGTCTACAAGTGTACAATGTGTTGGTGTACGGTATCACAGTGTGCAATGCGTTGCTGGATCTCTGCATGACAGAGTACAGTGCATTACAGTACAATGTGTGGGTGTACACGGTATCACAGTGTGCAATGCGTTGCTCTATCCTGCATGACAGAGTACAGTGCATCACAGTCTACAATGTGTGGGTGTACACGGTATCACAGTGTGCAATGCGTTGCTCTATCCTGCATGACAGCTCATGTACAGTGCATCACAGTACAATACAATGTGTGGGTGTACACGGTATCACAGTGTGCAATGTGTTGCTCTACATCCTGCATGACAGAGTACAGTGCATCACGGTCTACAATGTGTGGGTGTACACGGTATTACAGTGTGCAATGCGTTGCTCTATCCTGCATGACAGAGTACAGTGCATCACAATGTGTGGGTCTACAATGTGTGGGTGTACACGGTATTACAGTGTGTGCAATGCGTTGTATCCTGCATGCAGAGTACAGTGTGCACATACAATGTGTGTGTACACGGTATTACAGTGTGCAATGCGTTGCTCTATCCTGCATGACAGAGTACAGTGCATCACAGTCTACAATGTGGGTGTACACGGTGTACACAATGCGGTATCCTGCATACAGTGTGCATCACAGTCTACAATGTGTGTACACGGTAATACAGTGTGCATGTGTGCTGTGCATACAGTACAGTGCATCACAGTCTACAATGTGTGGGTGTACACGGTATTACAGTGTGCAATGCGTTGCTCTACTGCATGACAGAGTACAGTGCATCACAGTCTACAATGTGTGGGTGTACACGGTATTACAGTGTGCAATGCGTTGCTGGATTCATGCATGACAGAGTACAGTGCATCACAGTCTACAATGTGTGGGTGTGTACACGGTTGTATCACATTGTACAGTGTATTACAGTGTGCAATGCGTTGTACACTGCAGTGTGACTAAAGCATTTTACACGCATGCACTGTACACACTAACGCATTTGACATTTCTAGTGTCAATGCGTTAGATGCAATGCCTTGGACAGTACAATGCATTTGCAGTATTGGTGTATGTTTATTAAGCACAGATAATAATTAATCTGATTTTAGTTACAAGGAGAAGTCTTCTCTGTCCCCCTGTTTATGAGGTGGAGGACAATTGTTTTCCGAAGAAGAGAGGAGACATTTTTTCAAGGAGATCTGTATAGATTTCCAGAGATCTGTGTAGATAGATGGTTGGGGCTGCATGTGATCTCTGGAGATAATTGGGATTAACGATCACCTGAGTTAAACCAGTGAATGAAAAGTGTAAAAAAACATGGATTGAAAATAATCTGCACTGACCACTGTGCTTTGTCAAGCCACATATTGGCACATTCTGGTGTCACACAGATCCGATGTGAAATTTGCAGTGTTTTCTGTGCAAGCGCTGCACCGCATCACAACCGCAACCCCTTCATGCCACCTGCTGCGGCTTTCTAGGTGAAGTTACCAACACACCAAAATTGGTACACAAAGCGTATTGCGATTTGCCAAATTGGATGGCATGCCTATTCACACCCATGTGCATACCCTGAAAAAGGGTCCTGCACATTTTTGGCCCGGATGCGGTGCAATTTGAGGTGTGCAAAATGTTTGTCTCTAATTGCAACGCACACAAATTGCATGTGATTTTCCCAGGAGTGCGGTGTTAGACCACAATGCATGTATGTGAAGCCAGAATAAAAGGATGTGGATTTTGTCTACTTTTACTTGCGCATGTTAACATTATGTAAGTGCGTTATTCTTCTGTTTAACATGCTATAGAAATGGAACATGCATTTGGATGGAGTGTGTTTTTGTATGTGCATTTTGGAAGTTTTCTAAACACACATTGACCCTAGGGCCACACCATATCTTAAGCCGCGTTTGTCAGAAATGCTGTACAGGACATTTAAAGCGGATTTACACTCCACCTATCAAAAAATAACAGTCAGTCATGCTACAAAAAAACGGTAGCTGCTGACTTTTTAAAAAGCAGACGCTCACCTTTCCCTCGGTCCTGTGGTGTGTCCCCCGCAGCTCCTTTCACCGGCTGTCCTGGGTTCCAGGAGGACGGCATCTTCACTGTGGGAACCCAGCTGTGACAGCTTGCGGCTTCACAGCCGGCTACCCACTGTGCATGTGCGAGTAGAGTTGCACTTCATGAATGGTCATGTCAAATGTTCCCAAAGACTACAAGGAGGGAGGATACCTTCCGTTTCTAAACATCTAGGCGATTGTACTGGAAGTAGGAGCGTGTATCTGTCAAATTTGGGGACCCGCTACCCAAGGGTGCCAATCCTTAAGGGGGAATGGGGGAGCAGTCCTTAAAGCGGAACTTCCCCTTTTGGATGGAGCTCCGCTTTAAGATGATTTCCTATGGGATATGTTTACACATGTGCTTTTTCACATGGCTTGCTTTTTTTTTGGGAAAAGGTCAGAGCCTTTTTGGAAATCCAAAAGTGTCATGTTTTTGTCAAAATACTTAAATGGAAACACTGCAGACAAGAACGTATTTCATGTTGTCTTCGTTTTGCCGTTTTAGATCTGAATAGCAACAAAAATGAAAACAGTAAGGCACAAAAAATACATAAGAAACAAAAAACAGCGCAAAACCCAATGCAGAGACGGCTACAACACAACCTGTGTTGCCTTAGGCACTTGAGTGCACACTTGGCCCCAGGTGATTTTAACAGGTGTTTTTGGGGTCAAAGCATGTGTGTTTGCATTTGTGGAAAGTGTATTTTTGAATCAATTTTTGGTGTTGTTTTGTACGTATACTTTGGCAAACTGCACATCTGCATCTGCATTCAACTTTGTGGTGAAAATTAACCAAATAATGTCCCAGCCAAAATGACATGCATTTTGCATGTGTGGCCAGAACACACACAAAAATGCTGTTACAAAATAATCCAAAATACAGGCTCAAACAAGACAAACAACATGCACATCCAAATTTCAAACAACCTTTTACAAAACATATCTAATGACCAAAAAGCACCAACAAAGTGGATTACAAAATACACACCACAATGAGAATTCTAATGTCCAAACAAGCGTAAATTGCCCTTTTGTGCCCATGGAGTGTTGTGTTTTCTTTCAATTATCATTTAGGTGCGTGCCTAGCATATTTGTTAAATGCCAAAATGTGCAGCAAAATGCATGTTTGCTAACAACACTTGGGGTGCCATTAACAATGAATGGCACACAAGAGCACAATGCGTATTCAAAGACCATTTGAGCACACTTTAGAAGTGCTGCAACAATTGTGCAATTCTGCCAACAATTATGCAATTCTACCAACAATTATGCATTGCTCAGGTGAGAATGCATTGAAAATGACAATACAATACAATTATACTGTATGTACGTATGTATGTGTATACACACACACATGTAGATATAGTTCATGTTTTAGCTTCTTTTGGGACAATTATCCCCTGCTTTGTGTCTGATATTTGGTATGTTTGATTACACAAACCTCTCACATTTAAATTCTTGACCTTTTCTTGTCACCCACAGGTTTTGCTGTTACGCAAGTATGACGGTGGCTGTTCGAATTTTGCCAAGCAGACCATCGTGCGCCAGATCAAGCATCGGCTGTGGCAGAGATTCCACCACCGCTCCACTGTGCTGCAAATCCAGCACAGTTGGAGCGATGTGAAGCGGCGCAACCCGCAGTTTTTGAAAAAAGGTTGCCCGCCGAATCTCTGGTAAGTCAAGTTATTAAAAAGTCTACTTTCAGTTTTGTATTGTGAAAAATGTTTTGCTACATTCATTCTGAATTTGTTTGGCAATAATGTTGTCTTTGTTGACTTGTTCTAGCCACAGCTGATGGGCGCCAGGCGGTGGTCTGCTTGGCAAAAAAACCTCACAGGAGGACAGCCACCGTCCACTTCTTCCAACCAACAGGCGGGGCATCCCCTGCGGAGACTCCGCATTGTGGAAGGTAAGCACAAGCTCTAGAAGCTTGGACCTCATGACTTTGCCATTGTTGCCATCTCCACACTGATCTCCACTGACTGTCAATTGTACATTAATGCCACACACATTGCTTGTAAATGACATGATAACTGTGACGGAAGCGTAGGCAGGACAGAACACACGGAGGATGCTAAACACACCAAGCGTTATTGTTATATGGAAAGCACTCAATCAGGGTAGGAATTTAGCATCCGGGCACCCAAAATGGGGGGGGAGGAGAGGGGAGTAGCTCCAAACAATTGTAATTCAGCCCATGATAGGGCAATTTGTGTAGCGATGGCCCAAGCATATATTAATAATCCAAGCAGGCAGCTCCTGCAAAAGTAATAGGGAGGTTCAATGGGGCAATCCAGGCAAAAAATGTATGCGAGTTCCACGGGACAGTACAGGCAGGGAAAATCGGGGGATCCAGGGGGGTAGTTCAGACAGGAGGATTGGGGCATTCACGGTTTAGGCAGGAGTATCCTCGGGCACACAGCAGGTAGCAGGCAGGAGTACCCTTGCACACAGCGGATAGCAAGCACCTCTAGCCCCCCAGGTATCAGCAGAGTACTCAGCGGGTTCTTGGGGTGGGGAGGTCTGGCCTCAGCTCAGACTTCCCAACAGCTGCTCATGGCGACATACCAGGGACCAACAGTGGACTGGGTCCTGCTCCGGTCTTCTTAAGCCAGAGCAGGACGCTTCCCGGTTGTCCTGGCAATGGCCGGCCCAGCGTCAGGTCGCCAGGGCAACAAGGCACGCCCCGCTCACTGGGGCCCGCGCTCAGGGAGCATGGCCTTTGTCTCTGGCGGCCGCAGAGTGTGGGAAGCCTCGTGGCTGCTGCGCTGTGCCCACCGGGGGGCATGCAGGGACACCCCGGCGGCCTGTGCCATTCGGGCCAAGCGGGGTAGCTGACTCCTTGGCAACTTTGCTGAGGAGAGGTGCTACCCGCACCACAGTGGGTGTTTCCTCCCCTCCTGAACAGCTTTTGATGTAGGCTTGTGCAGGACCCTAGGAATCTGCAAGGGGAAGAGAGGGGGGATGATGAAAGGAGAGCAAGGGGGGAGGAAGGGACAGCAGGCTGGAGGGGGACTGTGACAAGAACCTTTTGTTAATCACTAATAGAGCTGTGTTTGGTGTCATTTGATCCCCAATGGCTGTTTGTTTGTGATACAGGATTTATGCCTAAAAATATTATGGCTTAGATGTTCACAAACATATCCCATCAAAATCGCAGTCATAACATTTTGTTTATCCATTTGACAGAATTGGACTTCTTTTGACCCATTAAATTACAATATTTGTATGTTATGTATGCTGTTTGAAAGTTGCAGAGTATACAAATTATGGAATATTTTGGACTAAAATGCAACTCCATGGTGTACAGCCAATCTCATTTGGTGAGGCCCCATAAAATGACAGAACATGAGAAATATTCTACAATGCATAGTACGTTATTATTAACACATTAACACATAAATACAGTATTATAGAGAGGGGACATCTGGGGGGATTTCTGGTTCATTTTGGGGATGGGGGAATTTCAGAATCTTGGCTTGTCCTTACATTGGGAATCATTCTAACGGAAATGTTTAACATTGTCTTGACTTGCTTACATTACTGCCATGTGGCCTTTTTGGTGATCTGGTATATATGGTCTACAGCCAATCATATTGACCAGGGTGCTGTGATTGGTCCAAATACCATGTGATAAGTGTGGTCCAATCCTATTAGGACATCCAAGAGTTCCTAATATCTAAATTGACATTGTGATCATGTCATTGCATAGCAAATGCATGATCAACAAGATTAACAAATCATCCTCCTACCATGACTTGCTATCTGCTGTAGTGCGGTGGACAAAGTTGTGGAAAATGATGCAGTCTGCCCCAGTGGATGTACATCCAAAGTCAAAACACAACAAATTAGGGACACGAACACAATTGTGCCTGTATGTGTGGCCTGACACCAGGAAATGGACAGTTGTCATTCAGCCCTGTGGCCTTAGCTTTGGCACACAGGTTTGTGAGAAATGACTAAACTTCTGCCATGTTTTTAGGTTAGTAATGTTACAATTCTGTGTTATTCTTTTTGTAGAACAAGACAGTGAAGAGGAGGGCCAATGTAAGTGCCTTGAATGTGATTGGCTGTTCTCTGTGTGCATTATGTAACTTTGATGTGTGCAATGTGTTTGTTGTGTTCTATCTTGTTGTTTATGTAGCACCAGCTATGTTGGAAGAGGGGGATGAGGAGGAGGAGGGCACATCCTCTCAGGCTCACTGTAAGTGCATTGAATGTGCTTGTCTGTTCTCTGTGTTCCTTGTTGTCCTTGGCTCTCTCAAAGGGGTTGTTGTTGTTCTTCTTCTTCTTCTTGTTTGTGTAGTACCAGCAAGGTTGCCCACAGTGGAGGAGGAGGAGGCGGCGGTGGCACCACCACCACCACCACCACCACCACCACCACCACCACCACCACCACCACCACCACCCCTGTCTCCGCGGTCGCCTGTGCTGCCGGAGACTCCCTCACCTCCAGTTCACTGTAAGTGTCTTGGATGTGCTTGCCTATTCTGTCTGTGCATCATGTAACTTTGATGTCTGCAATGTGTTCTGTTCTATCTTGTTGTTTATGTAGCACCACCAGCCATGTCAGAAGAGGGAGAGGAGGGGGATCCCTCTTCTGAGGCACACTGTGAGTTCATTGAATGTGCTTGTCTGTTCTCTGTGTTCCTTGTTGTCCTTGGCTCTCTCAAAGGGGTTATTGTTGTCCTTTCTTGTTTGTGTAGTTCAAGCAAGGTTTTCTCCGGAGGAGGAGGAGGAGGAGGCCCACCAGCCACCTCCAGAATTTAGTCCACAGCAGGAGGCCCCCTCACCTCCAGCTCACTGTAAGTGCCTTGGATGTGCTTGCCTGTTCTCTGTGTGCATTATGTCAATTTGATGTTTGCAATGTGTTGGTTTTGTTCTTTCTTGTTGTTTGTGTAGCTCCAGCCATATTGGAAGAGGGTGAGCTGGAGGAAGAGCAGAGGGAGGAGTGGTCACCCCCTCAGGTCCACTGTAAGTACCTTCAATGTGTTTGGTGATTTACCTTCTGTACAATCATGCTGACCATAGCTGTAGGCTAATTTGACTGCTTAATATTGGCCAGACTGTAGTTTCTTATCTAAGTCTGCCTTATTTTTGTTTCCACTACTGCAACTTACCTAGGTGGTTGAAGCATTGGTCCAATACTTCATCTGTCCCCCCTAGGTTGTAAGGGTGGTAACTCCGCTGTGATGGAGCGTAGGCAGGACCAAACACACAGAGCAGATGATAAACACACAATGCTTTCTTGAATTAGGACAGTCACTCAATTTGGGTATGAAGTTAGCGTCCAAGTTCTCGTGGCAGGGGAAGAGCAGGGATGGCTCCTCAAAATATTGTAATTTGGCCCCAAGAAGGGCAAACTTAGAGTCTCTGTTAAATTGTAATCCAGGCAGGGAAGGGAAAGGAGGGAGAGTTCACAGCCCTTCCATACAGGGGGGAAAACAGGGGCAGAAACACTCACAGTTTCGGCAGGGGTTTTCCTGGCTCACAGCGGCCTACAACAGGGGGTGACACTTAGCACACAGGAGAGGGTCCACTTCTACAGCACACTGCAACACACGTGGCCTCACAGTATTAGGCAGTGTAGCAGCGGGTACTCCTCCTGAGCCCCGAGTATTAGCAGAGTGTTCAGCGGCTAATAATCCTGGTATCCCTAGAGTATTATGCAGAGTGGCTGCGGGGGTCTCGCCTCAGCGCAGACCTCCCAGCAGCTTTCGCAGCAGACAAAACACCCTGGAGAATCCTGCGTCGGCTCCCTGTTGTCCTGGCAACGTCCAGCCCAGCGCTGTGTTGCCCAGGCAATGAGGCACACCCTCTTGACACGGGCCTTGCTCTCTTTGTCTCCAGCGGGTGCAGGTGCGGGAAGCCTCGCACCCGTGCTAGAGCCGCCGGGGGGGGCGCGCAGCGACAGGACGGCAGCCCTGCTCCGGAACCCCCACTGGTGGGAGGCTATCCCTCTCCTGGCTGTATGGCCAGGAGAGGTGTGACTCCCGCTACAGGGGGTCACCTTCCTCCCATGGGGCTTTGCAGGATGGGAGGAAGTGACAAGCAGCGGGGGGGAGAGGTGACACCTCTCATCCTGTGCAGCCCAACTTCAAAGGCTGCTACAGGATGAGAAGGGGGTGGGTGAGGGGACACAGGCACCAGGAGGGGGGGGGGGGGGTTTCTGGAGTTCAGGCACACTGTGCCATCTGCAATCACATGTTTGCTGTCAGCTCAACCCCCCAGCACTTACTGTGCTGTGGAGGGGGAGGCACTGGCAGGCTAAACTCTTTGTTATTCGTGGCTAGGCTGATCCAGTTGCTGCTCCGGAGTCTGCAGTATATCATGACTTGAAAGTCAGGATCTTGATCCAGTCTGGCCATGCTGTGTGACTTCAGTGAATAGAATGCAGCTGTCCCCTGAAAATGTGTCGCAGGAGTGCCAAATGAACTACACTTCTGTAATCCACAGGAGAGGTACAGTCCAAAAATCTTGGGCTGGATTTCCCTTTTAATCTATGTATGTCAGGCTTAGAGTGTAACTAAACCCCGAAGCCTGCATTCACTCTATCTGGTCTACGCAGACCCTGCATTGCATTGACTATATCTGCTCTCCCTGTACCCAGAATTCACTCTGTCTGGTCTCCCGCAATAAAAACAGAACATGGCAGTGCAAGTATTTATTTAAGGCCATAAAAAAAGCTAAATGCCTTTTATCATCAGCAGTTAGAGCAGTCTTGTGACTTCAGCAGAGCTCTGTTAAACTTTGAGTATTTGTCTGTCTGCTCTAGGATGGTGTGAATCTTCTGGCCCTCTATGTGAACAGTGCTGATTGGCCCTGTGCTGATCACATGCACCCCCCCCAAACAAACAAACACCCAAAAAGTATAGCAATGCACAGCAAACTGAGCATGTGCATGTGATTACGGATTCAGTCTGTATCAGTTGGTCATTTCAACAAGAGGAGGGGCAGAGAAGACAGGATCAAACAGCCTTCTTACACAAGACAGAGTATTAACCCCTTAGTTTACACAGCGAGTATAACAAGGATGATTTACTGCATATTTACACTGCTTGGACTGTTGTGGGTATAGTAAGACTTTAAGTAATATTGCTTGCTTTCTTATCACACATGGTCAAGCAGTTTTGAGAATACAGCTTCCAATGTGGATTCTAGTGTAGTGGCCAGGCAGTTATTAGCTCAATATGTGTAGGCCTGTACACATCCATACCTTTCGGAGACCAAGTTCTGCTCTCTAGCAGCACAGCATGGGATGATAATTGGCAGCAGGTCAGTATTTTTAGAGCCTGAGGAGGATGCCAAGCAGTGGGGCTTTCATGCTGCGAATGCATGAAGCCAAGAAACTTTGGCCTTTTGACCAAATTTACAATGACCATCCAACACAGGATATGTGCCCCCAAAATCCACTAGCAGAGGGGTGGGAGAGCCTATCTCTGAGGAGCTTCTCGGGCTATTAGTGTTTGGGAAGTGTTCTGAGTTGTGTGTCTTTGAATATCCAAGGGTTAAGGCCTTTCCCTTGTGTCAACCTTTGAAAAGGTTGCAGCTAAGGGCACAGTGGCTGTTAACACACCACAACCCCTTACAATATCCGACATAAAGATTGGACTTTGTACATTTTCATGAGTGCACCCTCTTCTATTTGTACAATCAGAGCCAGAATTTCACGTTCGACTTTCTTGGACATCCATGGCTCCCTAGGGTCATACACTATCGAAACTTAGCTGGAGTTAGTCTGCACCTTGTACTTCAAGTCTGAGAGAATGTAAGGCTTGGTTTTAACAGTGTGTGTGTTTGTAGTAAACTCTTAAGTTTACAAAGCCTCGAATTATACTGACATGTGGAGCTCTTTTGCTTGTGTTTTTTTCAAGTCACCTTGCACTCAGAAAGGGAGTGGCTGCACTTCAGAGCCCACAGGAGGCAATGGATGGAGGAGGAGGAGGAAGAGGTGGAGTCGTTGGAGGAGGGCCAACTCCCCTCCAGTTCCCCTGAGCCCCAGGACCCAGGTATGTCCCATTTGTGTGAATGTGATCAACTTTACAATATTTGCTTTTACACAGTGTCTATGTGTGGGGGTGTCACATGAGATGTGTTGGGTAAAGGGTGGTAAGCCTGGCACCAGACTTATTTTTTTTTTTTGATTCCCAATCTGCTCCAAGCTACAAATGCCACCTTGCAGTGTGTGCATGTGTTAACACTTGAGGGGGCATTTGTGTTTTGGCATAGGGGAGGAGAATATTGTATGGACTAAGCCTTTTACAGCTAGACTGTCAAAGACTTAGACCTTGTGACGTCTTCCTGTGAAGCTTCAGGTCTGCTCTGCTGCCGACCTGTGACCTTTGCTTTGGGATGATGTAAGTAAGTCACTCTATTGTAGACCCCAGAAAGGAAAGTGAGAATGGCTGCAAGGGCTGACCAATGAGTGTTTCCACTATTACTGTAGTGTAAGCGTAGCTAAGCTGATGTGTGTGAGCCAATTCCTCTTGTCAAGAGCAAGCCTCTCCAACATTGGAATGCTGGCACCACACCACTGGCAAGGGAGACCTTTGGGTTACGTCCTAAGGTGATCTGAAACATCGTCAATGGACAGCCAAAGAGTATGTTAGCATTGTAGGATATGAGCAGCTTGCTGGAGTGTAGGTGCCAACAAGTGGCCAAATGAATTTGGCCTTAAGCTCTTCTGGCCATCTAGTTTAGTAACCCAAACCGAAAGAGGACTTTGCTATGTTGGGTAGGGCTAGGGCTTACTACCTGGGGCCTGTACTATGTGACTGTTTAACATCCATGTGTTTGTCAAATGTCAGGACTCGCAACTTTTTCTTGTGTCTTTTTTTTGTTACTCTTCATGTAGTTGTACTTCCCAATGCCCCACCTGCTATGGGGGAGCTACAGCCCCCACTGGATGCAGAGGCTGACATCCCAGAAGGTCAGTTTCTGAACTGTTTACACATATGCACATGTAACGTATGTAGAAGGCTTCAGCTCCCCCTTGTCTAAAATTGTTTGGCCTCGTCCTGTGTATAGGATGCCCCCCACAAAGAAATAAAACATTCACACTAAACAACACATCAGGCAGATAGGGGCTTAATATTCACACTTAGACCTGACAGCTGAGTTGTTCTACATAGGCATACATTAAAGTGTTTTTCTAATTAAGAAAGGGCAATAAACAAAGAATATGACACAATAGTCAAGCACTAACCTGACACTCCAGTGATCCAAAACCTGCTTCCCAAGTAACTAGTGTTTGTTCCACTCTGGTCTCTCCACTATCTTAAAGAATCACTCCTAATAGATGCAGCTGACACATCCAGCTTCCTGGGAGAAGGACTGCCTCCCTTCAAGGACACACCTGGTTAATCACACTGCCAGCTCTTTAGGAATCTCTGGACCTGTGTGGAGGGAGTTGGGCCACTAGGCTCCAATAGGCTCACAGAATTTGCTCAGCTCTGTGCTCTGGCTGAGGTGCATGTGTGTAGGGCCCCACCCCTCCCCTCTCTGCAGCTAATAGAAATCTAGGATAGATGTCTTTGGGAAACTCTGTGGAGGAGATAGGTGTGGCAAAGTCATCTGTTGCCCTTACTGATGAGATTGCCCCTTTTTGCTGTTGCCCACAGAGATATATTTGTAGTCAGTGAGCAAAACACTCTAATCTAGGCCTAAGGATTCCAAACTCCCTCCCTGGCCCATGAAATCCTCCCAGGCAAGAGATGTAAGCTCTGTGTTCCAATGATAAGTTGAAAACAGCATAGAGTGCTTTCAGGATAATTGACAAAGTTAGACAAGTATTGCATGCTGTTGTTTGTGTGGAAGCAAGTGTCTCCTTTTTTAATTGCAGCAAATGCATTTATTCTGACTTTTTCTACAGTGTTCAACCACCCAGCCATAAGAAGCCTCATGGGCTGGGTGTGTGAGCGCATTGGGACGCTGGAGCAGGCATTGGAGGTGGGGCCAGCCGAGAACCAGCCAGACATTGTGGCCTATTTTCGTCAGTTTTAATGTTTTTAAATGTTTTTATGAATAAATGTTATTTATATTTGACAGTGGACTGTGCTGTGGCCTTCTTTAGCCTTTGCAGGTAGGCAATCATTTTCATTGCAGTTGGAGCTGATCTGCATGTCCCTAAAGCATTGCAGTACACGGCTAGCTCCAGCTGCAGTGGCCAATCTTGCTTACCTTGAACAAAGTCTGGCAAGTCCAGCTTTTTAGAATTGCATGTTTCAAAGAGGTAAACCAGCTTCTTCAATCCTAAACTCGGATATATAAAGATTGCAGTTGACTGCTTGCTGTCTGCAGCTACTCCCAATCTTAGTTTGCTGCCGTTTGTGAAATGCCGCAAGAGTTTACACAGAATACTCCATTCATGTTACATTGTTTACATTTGGAGTAGCTCTTCAGTCCATCCAGGGACTTCAAGGTAGCTTGGTGGAGTGTAGTTGTGAAGACTGGCAAAAGGGGAGGTGCAACCAAGTAGATAATGTGTGGGTGGATCCTGTGGGCAACTCTGTCAAGATGTTACTCCTCACCTCATTTGTAATTGGGATTGGCATTACACAGAAGCCACATGACTTGAAAGCTGCTCTGGGAAGGACTATCAGTTATGGATGAGACCACTTGCATGCAATGTCCCGCAGCAAAGAAAAGGGACAAATTGACTTTCTGCTCAACACACACCACTTGGATCCAATTTGTTGCTAATTCACATATCATTGTTTTGTCAACAGAAAGTGGGAAGGGAATGAAGTGAGGAACAAGTGTCAACTGGGCACATAAATTCCATAGGCACACACATCTAGAATCAGGCAGCGTAAGATCCTATGCTCCCAAACCAATTCCGAGGCTAGATGTAACACGGTGTGTAAAGCAAACTTAGTCTGGGTCTAGTAAGTCAAGCAGAATGATAGTCCAAACAACAAAAGTCCTTTGCTTATTCTCACAACTTTTAGGTGTCTCTAGCTTTCCTTGGCAGGCTTAATGTTTGTAAGTCGTGGCCTGGTTTTGCACATGGTGGCCTGGCTATTGACACACTTCTCTATAGTGTGTGTCAATGTAGTAGCCCAGGGAACGTATTTGGACAGCAGTGTCAGTCTCTGGGGGAGGCAAGTGTTTGATGCAGGAGTCTTCTTTAAAATCAGCATCCCATAAAGAGCAAAGCTAGACAACAATTTGCAAGCAAGCTGCAATATTTTTTGCCCCATTTTTGTGAAAGTTAGTCTTGCCCACAGAGTCCACTGAGCATCCTTGGCTCAATTTGGTCAGCCAAATTGAGAGCAGACAATGCCCAACTGCTACATGTGGCAGAGAACTTGTTTGATGTGGAACATCTAGAACTCTTTGACACACCACCAGGTCAAAACAGCAGAAAGGCCAAAGAGTATAACCACCAATTCCTTGGGAAGTGTCAAATTTGAATGTTATTTAGTATGTGCTGTTTTTTGGAGTGTTAACTGTAGCAATTGTGCCCACAGAGAGGCACGTGCTCATCCATTTTGCTCCAAACCCCTCCATATTGTCTCTCTCTCCAAAATCCGATTCCTCTGATATCCCCCCCCCCCCCTCTCTCTCTCTGTTGAGTGACGTGGTCTGGATGATGACAGAGATCACAGGCAGCAAACTCATTCCAAGGAATCGTAAAACAGACTTACACTTACATTTTCCAAATCCAGTTTTACATATAAATTTTATGTCTCTAGGAAATAATTACACAAACATGGAGCACATATTGGGATGGCTCACTTTAAGACAAGTCGCCTGGTATATTACACACCCTAGCTGTCATATACAGGAGAGCAGAAAATGATATCTCCTTAAGCATCCAAGCAGGTATCTCATATGTAGCCGTTTAGCAGAAGATTGTGCGTATTAATCTACTCGTGGATAGAATGTTCTATGTATCCTGGCTAAGTTATGAACCATAATATAATCAATGAGTGATTTTTGGTCATGGATTGGGTCTCCACCTGACACCCACACAAATGAGGCAATTGGCTCTCTGCTTCAGGGAGACACCCTGCTGAGTTCCTAGATAAAGGCTGTGATGCTTGACGTTAAGCCAAGTTGACTTGAGAGAAAAATGGTAGAATCGCCCTTTTAACATAGGAACGAACTTTGGGAAATAAGCCCCCTTTTGGCAGTGAAACATGATCTGCTTAACCCAAAGGCAAGTACTTTATCCCTCTAAACTTCTGTTCTCTTTGTTCTATCCATTTATCTGCTACATCTTTTTCTGAAAATATTTTGCTTACACCCTCCTGACCTTTTAGTTATGAAGCTTACTATCTGGAAGTGTTGAACTGTTTTTTAAAGCTCTTTAAATGCAATATAAGCACCCCTGTCTCTGAAGAGCGCTATTGTGTGTTTTAAATTTCAGTATATCGCTGCCTGTGTTGACAGTGGTATACCAATGCTTATGCAACCATCATAGTGGTATTGCTGATATTGCCAAGTTGCCTCTTTCTCTGTGCAAAAAGGAAGGAGGTGTTGGCAGTGTGAAGGGTTAATTGCGTCATTAACCTGACCCAGTAACAATTGCTCCCAGGCTGGCGGAACATAGAGTGTGGTCCATTAGCTGGGAAAGGTTTGTGCAGGGTGCAGCATTGTTACGCACTTGACAGCGCTGTTTTAGATTGGCTAGTCCTTTGGTCACCAGTTTGTTGAGAAGGGCTGGGGTCTGATGATGCAATCAACATTAACTATTTAGAATTACTGGCCGCAACACTAAACCTAAAACACCTGTGTTGGATTTCCTACATGACCAACTCAACATTATTAGCCCAAACACATTTGACAATATGCAAGACACGTTCAGCCACTTTGAACAAAAGAACATTTATTTAAATATAGGCAGGGGGGGGGGGAAGGGAAGGTCATGGTCATGGGGCGCCTCGGGCTCCTCTGGCGCCTCGGGCTCCTCGGCCTCCTCCGGGCCTCGGCCTCCTCCGGCGCCTCGGCGCCTCGGCCTCCTCCGGCGCCTCCCTCCTCCGGCGCCTCGGCCTCCTCCGGCGCCTCGGCCTCCTCCGGCGCCTCGGCCTCCGGCGCCTCGGCCTCTTCCGGGCCTCGGCCTCTCCGGCGCCTCGGATGGTTCCTGCTGCTGCTGCTGCTGCTGCTGGGGGGAGGGGTATGAGGGGGGGGGGGGGGGTATGAGGGGGGGGGGGGAGGGGGGTATGAGGGCAGGATGGGGTATGAGGGCAGGGGGGGGGGGGGGTATGAGGGCAGGGGGGGGTATGGGGGGGGGGGGGTAGTGTCCAGGGCCTGGGTAAGGGTATTGGGTGGAGGCAGAAGAAGGGGATAACCTAAAGTGGTGCTGGAAAGTGGTGTAAATTGGTTGTGGGGCTGTGAAAGAGTGAGAGGGAAGGACTACAGAAGAAGGGGTTGAATGTGTGGTTGGGAGGGGTGTGTTGGTAGGGGCATTGAAGTGTGTAGGATGTGTTTGGTAAGGGAGGTAGTGGTATTGTGTGGTGTGTGTAGGAACAGTGTGAGGGGCTATGAAAGTGGGGGTGTGGCCAAGGGGCAAAGTGGAGCGTGAGGAAGATGAAGTGTGAGGGATGACGGGTTGATTCTGCACCTGGGGATTTAGGGGCTGGGGTGGGATTTGAGAGGGCTCCTCCAGAGTGGGTGACTCCTGAACAGGCACCTCAATATGTAGTTCCCCTGCTGCTTCCCCACCACTTCCAGCAGGGGAACTGTGTAGCACACCATTGGCATTGACTCCAAACGACTACACAAGGGTTGTGAGCCGCTGGTTGATGGTGCATTTTGATCAGGCCCTGCTTGACACAAGGCTCTCGGATGTCATGCAGCAGGTGATGTTTTTCCTGCATGATTGCAGTCTGAGCCTCAACTGCAGTGGCAATTCGAAGCAGGGTTGAGTGTTGGAGCTGCAATAAATGTTCAAAATCAGGAGGGGGACTGTAATTCCTCCTTTGCTCCAATAATCTCTCCAGATTGGACATCAGCCTTTCACCAAGCACAAGAAGGGGGCTGTGTTCAGGTGGATGAGGGTGCCAATCCAGCTGAATCCAATGTTGGCTGCAAGAAGAAACAAAAAAAAAAATTTATTCAGAGAGTGTTTTAACACACAGCACAAGCATACAGTAGGACAGGGGGCTCATCCGACAACAAACACTAGCTCATGTTCTTGTCCCACCCCTAGGACCAGGTATTGGTAAATGCCTTTCCCTGACATATTACACTGGATGAACATCTGGCCAAAATAAATGATTTGGCTGCTTTACCCAGACTGATACCTTCTGGGTCTGTAATGTGATTGGACTGGGATTTAGACAAGTGAACAGCTAAAATTCCAAATTGTCACATGCATATCACTCTCTCCAGCTCATGACTAAGCAATGATCCCAAAAAAGTAAGTTACACATCACGTTGCCAAATCCTGCCCAGCCAGGAACAGTTATGCTCTAAATGGGTAACTCATTATGGATAACATCTTTAGCATCTCTTACCTGACGTTGAGGCAGCTCAGATGTCGGTGACGGACTTTGCTGAACTATTGGAGTGCCTGAACGTCCCTGCACCACAAAAACAAAAAATAGGGCATGAGATTCCACAAATACACATGCAACATGCATTTGAATATCCCCACCCAATTACAGCAGTTCCCATACCCCAACATCGGATGCAGATTGTTCACCCACTCTGTCAGCTGGGGCATGAAGAGCTGAAAATAGATTTCAAGATGATTAGCAACAGACAGAAGTTTGACTGTATGTATGATCTGACATTTTTGTTCAAGGTTTGAGGGTTTGTTCATTATGTTTTTCACAACAGTTTATCCAGAGAAATAAGACACTGGCAGCTACAAGCCACGAGACTGTTTGGGAGTAGAAAGAGGCATGGTAAGGCTCAGGAGCAGGGGCCACGAGAATTAGTGGGCACCTTTCCTGCCAAACAAGGAGGCAGATGTGTTAGGATGGCTACTACAATATGCCGATAAGCTACTGCAGGCTTTTAGACCTTGGCCTTCAAACATTTAATCCAAAGAT